AATGAAATTGGCAAAAGATTGGGACGATAGGACAGGTGCGTACGTCAGATTCCGACGGAGTGTTTCCGGCTCACTCATGAGAAGGGTGTTGACCAATCCGAAGAATTGCATGATTCGTTCATCCTGCCGTGTGTCCTCATGACCCTTTAATAGGAAGACATAGTTTTGGCCGTTTGAACCTTGGAGTAAAAAAATAAGAGGTGAGAAACACTGCCAGAAGACCTTGGCATAATCTAAATCACACGCAACGCTAACAGTTCGCTTGCAGTACACAAACGTCATTCCGCAGCCAAAGCTTCACTCACCCACACAACTTCGCGGACACATCTGGCATGCAAGCGTAGCGGTATTTAAACCGTCTATTTTCCGACAATAAATTTCTGTCTGCTATCACTGTCTTGAGTGACTGTTGATTTAAGGTAACCTTCTGTTGTCGATACCACTACCTGTCACAGCCTCACATTAACCCACCCACCAACTACCGCCATGCGACCTTGACATGACCAATAAAGTTGTGAGATTTGTAGTTCGCCTGGAAGACGCTTTGTCGTTTAGAAAAAAAAAACGGTTAGAAACCACTCACCCAAGATAGTCAGTCGACGTGGATGCTGTTTTGAGGTCATCACGGTAAGGCAATTCTTGACTCCGGCCATGCGAATAAGGGGACGTTGAGGTTTGTAGCTGCCGGGTACAGCCAACTGCCAGTCCTTTCCGTAGGCTTGCAGTCGCGGAGCAGTGACAGTAAGCTCCAGGATGGACATATTGGAAACGAGTTTTGAGAACTAGATTGTAGAGAGAAGAAACGGGGGAAGTTGAAATAAGTATGTCGTTTAATGACGTCGAAATGACAGGTCGGCTGGGCGTCAATTTACAGAAAGTCCACCGACTGCAGGAGAGAATGCAGGTAGCTGGTGCGGCCGGTACCGCCACATCTGGCGGGGGCCCCAGGAGCGGAATTGTCATAGAGGCCACATTAAACAGGAACCATTGCAGCCTGAATCTCAGTTCACCAATCAATCACTCCACGCAAGCACAAACTGCGCCGACTGCGTGGCTCGAGTTATCCCAGTCAGATGGCAACCTTCCAAGCCAAGACTTTTAGTGCACACAGTGAAAGGTTCAAGCGCTTAAAAAATGTATAGTGACACTTTGACACTTTTTTGAGCATATTGAATGCGAATGCAGAGAATTTGTTGCTCGTTGTTAGTTTGCAAATTTGTCTTATGCCGTTTGCATATGAAAATAACCTGTAAATAATTGTGTTTCTTATGCAGACCTCTATCGTCTAAATGGAGGTTTTGAGGGTCTTACCCATTTACTCCAGTTATACTAAAGGAGAAAAGATTGCATTTTGATGGCATGTTTCAGTGGCACTTCTCGCCTCATCTTCGTGGACACAAAATGAAGCTGTGCACAAAAATCTCCAGGTCAAATCTCCGTTGTGAATTCTTCACGCAACGAGAAGTATAAAAATGAAATTAACTTCCGCAATCAATCTTGAAGGCAACGTCCCCATGGCTCTTCAATAAACGTCTGAATAATGATATGTGTCTCCTGTTTTTCCTCCACAATCCGAATCCAAAGTAGTACAGTAGTCGCCGGTTATTAAGCCTACCTTGGGCCCAGACCAAATTGGGCTGAATAAG